TAAGAATAAGAATATTTCTCAGGGAAAAGGTTATTCGTTTAACATTTACACCATGACTTAAGTCCAGTTATTTTTTAGATCTGATGTCTTCATTGATATAACACAATAAATTTACAAAGAGCCCATTTCACATTTCTCTGATATTCAGACTAATACTGGCCCATGAGACAATAATTTGATAAATGTCGGAAAATGGAACGGATTCCTATCAAAAGGCACAAACTATATATGTTATTTATGCATTGACTGATAAAATATTCCAACTCCAAGAGTTGAGAATTTTTGCTATTAAAGATGCACCAGTTCAGGCCTTTACAGTTAGGACCACTATGCTATTTACACAGGGTCGAATCACTCGCAGTCCCTTCGTATTCCACTGAGAAAGCATCATCAGAGCTGCTACTCTGTGGAACAGACTCCGTATTGGATTCTTTCCCGATTACTTCTCTTCAAGCCCAGGTTTAATTACATATCTTCATAATCAGTAATTACTTCCTTCTCTTAAATCCACATAACCACCTCATTCAGTTGTGACACTATAAAGAGTCAATGGTAATGGTTTAAAAGAATGTGACACTATAAATGGTAACTCGTTGTAGTTTAAGGACAGGTGACTATCGTGACACTGGTAGTATGGAAATAGGATTAAAAGTATCATGTGTAAACCTCGTATATTATTTGAGCATTGGAAGGGTTAAAAACGTAAGAAAAACGTAAGGGAAAACCATGAATTGAAATATGAAGCGAAAGAAAAAAGATTAGTATTTTTTCTTTTTGATAAACTAAAAAAGCAAATAAGTTGATATGAGTCTTCGAAAGCCGGAATGTAAAACAGTAGAAAAATTCTTTACCGATTTGAAATAAATATTTTTGTTTTGATAAAAACGGCCGATTATTGCAGGGAATATTTAGGTCGTGTTGTTAAATCTACAAAGAATGAAATAAATAATTTGGTTTTGAAAAGTTGACTGTTTGGTAATTGAAGGTCATTGTCAGCCGGGGAGCGAATTTAAGTAAAGTCAAAAATGTAAATATGGGGTTTGAATTGGATCGTATTTAGAAATGGACAATTCTTTACAGATCGGAAATAGTTTTATTAAACGCACAAAAAATAGTTGACGGTAAAAATTTTGTGGCCTAAAAGGATTTTTAAGACAAATTTTCTTGATTTGAAATTCCAGACGGGTCAAAGGTTCAAAGGCCGGTATCATTTCTTCAGAGTTGGAGAAAATAAGTAATTGATGAATACGTAATGATCTTTAGGGAGTGGCAAGAGATGGGCGAGATCCATATAATCCGAACGCTCGGTTGAAGCTAGTATTAGCAGTTACAATCGACGACCAGAAACCATGAGAGGCTAGCAGAGGGCGCCGGATGCCGGCAAAGGCTGGGAGAGACACTGGGAGTAGTATAAAGGCATGTAGTAATAGCCACCGAATAGAATGAAAATGCAGAATTGACGTTTCAAAATCTAGAAGAACTTGATGTGCTGTAATTCGAAAAAAAAAATGCGCATATCTAACACAGCAAAATTAAACTCTTTAAAAAAAACAGCGACTGGAACGGTATAAGAAAACACAAAGAAAGACAAGATAATTATCCGGAAAAGTAATACAAGTCTGACGGATGAGCTAATGTATAGTGACTGAAACGTCGTAACAAGATAGACATTTTCACGAAAATTAAACTCATGACAATTACAATAAAATTAAAATGGTGCTTTTAAAATACACTTCCTTCTTTAGGTTCTAAAATGTTCAAAGCATTAAGGAAATAGAGAACGAAGGGAATTCAAAGTAAAAGCTTTTCAGATATTCACTTTAATATATTAATTCTTCCAAGACAAGTTTTTTAATCAAAACAAATATTCTATTTATACAAAGATTTTACTTCTGAACAGTTTATTTTTTCAATAAAGTTTCGGTCTAATTCATGGATCTGTTGCCTTTTTAAATCTTTAAATGATCTAGATTGTTCTAATTTATTCAAACTTCCTGACACTCAGCTCTTTAAGATTCCCAACAGAATTGGTGCGCATTCCTGCCTCACCGAAAAAAAAAGAGATTGAATTTTAGACTTTCAACGAATCAATAAATTATCCATTTTTTTTTATAAAATGGAATTTGATCAAAATAAAAATAATCATTCTAAAATATCTCCACCGTCATTTTAAAGGATTTATGCAGAAATTGTTATAGTATTCTATGCAAAAATTGTTATAGGAATCTATGCAGAAATTGTTATAGAAATCTATGCAGAAATTGTTATAGGAATCTATGCAGAAATTGAACAATCGAAAATATTTTCTGCACTGTTTTTTTAAAGGAATATCAATACAATGTTACTGCATAAATTGCTAATCCAAGCGAAAGGATATTACAAAATTATTATTAATAAAGATAAGAAAACATATTCGGCAACAGATATTGCTGTAATAGAAGTCAACACCAAAATTCTTCTTTTATATAAAAAAAATCAAATAAAACGCTTTTTTTAAATTAATGGATAATAACCTGGTTCTCATTTCTACACGCTTTTGTCTAATATCCTTCATAAATAATTTCAAATAAAAGCTTTATTTACATTTTTATAACCCATTTCAGAATCCATTACATTTTTATAACCCTGTTCAAAATTCATTACATTTTTATAACCCTTTTGGGAATCCATTACATTTTTATAATCCTTTTCAGAATCCATTACATTTTTATAACCCTTTTCGGAATTCATTACATTTTTATAACCCTTTTCGGAATCCATTACATTTTTATAACCCTTTTCGGAATTCATTACATTTTTATAACCCTCTTCAGAATCCATTACATTTTTATAACCCTGTTCAGAATCCATTACATTTTTATAACCCTTTTCGGAATTCATTACATTTTTATAACCCTTTTCGGAATTCATTACATTTTCATAACCCTGTTCAGATCAATTAACCGAGATTATCTCCTGGCATGGACAGCGAGATGGGAACAATCGCTTCCAACAGATCAAATAAAAGATCGAAATTCATAGAACGCACTAAACACTTGTAGAAGGCTGGAGAGTACAAGAGTTGAAATTTTGTGTATAAAGAAATAAGATAAGAATTACCATTACTCACTTTATTTACATACGGATTATTTTCATCATCTTTATTGTTTTTATCACAATGTTTCGGCCGTTGCGCCCTCAGGCCTTCACCAGGTGTATGTCAATCCGGGTAACCTAAACGGAACAATAGTGGATTAAAGTGTTAGTTCGAGAACTTGGTGATATAGTAATTCTTGGCCGAGCTGTGTGGAATTAGAAAAGTGGAAACAGGGTGAATAATAACTTACCAATACCAAAATAAGACCTAGAAGAGATGTCCCTAGACATGGGTAGTGGTAAATTAAATAAAGGGTTCAGTTAAGAATCAGCTGTAGGTTCCCCGGTTCGATATATACCTGACCAAGGCCAAAGGACATAACGGCCGAAACGTTGTAAAGTTGAGTAATTTTTAATCTGGAAAATTCAAACAAATATTTCGTCTATTTTTTTTGTAGGAATAAACGTGACCCTCCGTGTTGTTCTTGTGGCTTCAATTTTGGGAGAGAAGAACCTGGCCAAAGGATATTCACCCTTATGTCTTTTGATTGGTTTGACTTATATTATCGATACGGAACTAACAGGTACTTGAGGTCGTTTCTTTTACTCTTTAGTTGAAATCTTTTCAAGACATTTACATGATTATCCAGAACTTGACGGATGGTTCAGTTTAAAATAATTTTAAAAGCATTTTATATATCTTTCTTTATACTATCCTGAATATTATTACTTTTAATTATTACTAAATATTTCTTTCCACTTAATTACTTATCATGTATACAGTAAACATACATATGAAATAGACTAATAATAAAAATAAGAATATTTCTTAGGGAAATGTTTTTCGTTTAACATTTACGCCTTTCCTTACATCCAGTTATTTCCAGCTCTGATGTCTTCATTGTTATAACAGTAAATTTACAGAGCCCCCTTTCACATTTCTCTTATATTCAGACTAATACTGGCCCACAAGACAATAACTTGATAAATGTGAAGAACAGGGAAAACTTTCTATCATAAGAGCATCAACTATATTGATAAGGGCATCAACTATGCATATATATATATATATATATATATATATATATATATATATATATATATATATATATGCATTGAGTGATAGAATAGTCCAGGACAATTTCTGCTATTGAAGGTACACCAATTCAGGCTTTATAGCTAAGAACCATCGTGCCACTTACAGAGGGTCGAATCATCCTCACTCCCTTCGTATTCCATTTGTAAGAAGGAAGTTCCATTTATCGATGCTTCCACAAACATTACCCTTCAAACCCTACATATCTTCATAATTTGGAATTACTTGCTCCCCTTACATGCATACAACAACCTTATTAAGTAAACCTCTTCTTTGAATGGCTCTTGGGCCTTGTATTAAATGGAACTTTAGTTAAAGGATGAAATGATGAGGCTATTTTAACATTTATCTTATATTCTGGTTAATCTGGGTCCATAAAAAACAAGACAACAACATGATAAATAAATGCGGAGAGCAAGGTTCAGTTTCACATCTGAAGGGTAATAATTGCATTTATTCTTTATGCAATGAGTCGTAGAAAAACACCAAATCCATGTCCTTCTATTATTAAAAACACTTCATCCACTAGATTAGGGTGAAAATACAACTGCTGTTCGAATGACCCTTAAAATTATATACAAACCGTTGAGTGGCCAGGAGCCAAATGTAGGCTGCAAAAGCATTAGCCAGCAGCGTGCTCACCGCTAAGAATCAAGGACTTCAAATGGAGTACATGGGCATTTGGAAGACCAGGATAACCTTACATGGGGTGCCCATGTACATATCAGAGGACCATTTGGTGGGCCGTCCCAGTTGTTGAGTTAGTGGTGCCGCCGGTCACCTGGCAAAGTTGTGTCCGAGAAGACACCCGGCCCCACAGCCTCAACCATCAAAAGGGTGAAAGAACCAAAGAAGGCCTGCAGCGAGTGGACTGAGGTGGTGAGGATGGGAGCCATGTCGGTAACTCAGCCTCCCCATCAGGATGTCCCGGAAAAAGGAGCTGCCAAGCAACAACTGCAGCATCCGAAGCAGCAGCAGCAGCAGCAGCAGGCGAAACAAGCAGTCTAAGCCGATGCGACAGCCTGATTAGCGGCAACAATAACAACCCCAGAAGCCGCCGGAAAAGTTGCAGCTACAGAAGCAGCGGGAGCAACCCAAGCGACAGAGCAGCAACCAGAGCAGGAATTTCAAGAAAAACAGCAGCAGCAGACTATCCAGCCACAGGAGGTGTTACCGCAGCTGGACCTCTACATGGCGGTGAAGGAAGAAAAAGGGGGAGGCATGAATAGTAGGAAGAGGACCCAAATTATTCCAGAAGGGAGAGAAATTGTGGTCGGTGTAAGGTGGAGAAGGCCCTGGTTGCTGCTGAAACCTAATCCGTTCCTGCTTGTGAGAAACACAATAACCAAGGTAAGGCAGAGCTTCCCTTTCTCCCCTTCTTCTCCTCTCCCTCCTATAACCCTACCCATGAAAAAGATGAGAAAAAAAAAGAAAAAAAAAAGGAAGAAGACTGTTCCCAAGGGGGGAAATCTGTGTATGATAGACAAGCAGGCTATTGAGAGGGACCTTTCTTCGCAGAAGGAGGACCTCTTGAAGTCGCTGTTTAAATGTACTTCTGTAAATAGAAAGTCTACGGAAGGCCCCTGCAACGACGGAGGGCCCTTGTAGTGATTACACTCATAAGGAACCCGGTTGGTATGGTGTGGGAATAACTGGCGAAGTCTAAAAGTGCATTCTCGGACATCAGGTTGGTTTTGTTGGAGTCACTTGAACTCAAAAAAATGTCGAATTTTTGTTCTGCAAGGGTCCTGGTGTTGCTCCACTTCTCCTTATATAGGGCTGTAAAACTTTCTCGATGGGCGTCGGCGGTATTGTCTTTGACGGTCGAATTACGACCGATATTGGAACCGGTAGCATGGACAATCGGTCGGGGTCCCGACTGTCATAGAATTCCGTCCAGTCTGCATTTAAGGGTTTCCTTAAAAATCAACTTAAAAGATGTGTATTAAGCTTGCTAGGTTGAATGTGAGGGGCTTGAGAGATCGGAGTAAGGTTGCACGCCTGCTTCGTGGTGTTTTGTTCTTTTGTGTGGATGTGGCTGTGATCCAGCAGACACGCTTTTTTTTTGCGACGTCAATGCACGTGTGGTGTCTAACGACTTTGTCGTCTATTCAGCATACGGAGACCGACAGGCCAGAGGCGTTTCCTTGTTAGTCAAGCGTTCTCTGGAAAGTAGGCCATGTCCGTGTGGGCGCGGATGGCCGGTTGGTCGTGGTCGATATTGCCGTGAACAGTGCTACGTTTCGGGTCGTTGCGGTTTATCCACCCAACGATCAGTAGGAGCTTGGTAGCCTGGTCGATCTGATCGGCGAGTTTCGGCTCTTCGTTAGATACCAGGTCGATCATTCGAGGCAGGAGATGTGGACGTGGGCTCATAAGCAGATAGCACCATGAGGTAATGTTAGATTTACTATATTGTCCCAAGTTCCACCGTTTAGACTATTCGGATCATAGACTCGTCTGTGGCTAGCAAGCGCTATCATGGTCAGGTAGTTAGAGATAAGTTAAACAAGATGTCTAACGAAGAGAACCATCGAGCCTCCGATCGATACATTCGTGAGGTCATTACCCGGGAGGAGCGTTCACTGAGGTTGATCAAGGACATGTGCAGGGCGTTTCTGCGGCATATCGACAGCCGTTTTACCAAGGAGTCTGGTCTCAGTGGCGACGAGTTTCGCAGTTATTTGGTTGACTTTCCTCGGTTTTCGCCGACTGAAGCAGCTAGCTACGAGAGTGAGATAACAGAGGGCGAAGTTCACTTGGCATTGAAAAAGGTCGGCAGTGGCAAGTCTCCGGAACTTGATTTTCTGCTCTATGAAATACACTTGAGGCTGTCGCACATCTTTATCTCGATTATGACAGTGGTGTTCAACAATTGGTTCTGGCAAGGAGCCATCCTCAACCGGATTTCTAGGGGTGTCATCACGCTGTTGAAAAAGGGAAATGATGTTGGGCGTGATTTAGATGATTACAGGTCCATAACACTGTTAAAGACAGAGTTAAAGATTTTGGCCAAGATCCTGACGGAGAGGTTGCAGTCAGTTGTTGCGAGCTTGTTGGGACCCGAGCAGACTTTTGCTGTGAGGGGACGAACAATTCAAAGCAATATGCATCTGATCCGCACGATCATAGAGGATGTAAAAGATGACAAGTGAGCCGCGCTGATCAATTTAGATCATTCCAAGGCATTTAACAGGGTTGACTATCAATAACTGACCGCTGTCCTGTAGGCCGGAGTATTCGAATCCGACTTCTGCAAGTAGATCAGCTTCCTGTATCGCTCATCCAGTGCTGTGATACAGGCGAACGGAAAGTGGTCGCGCGCTTTTGCGCTGTCTCGGCCGGCCTGACAGAGTTGTCCGCCATCGCCCTTACTTTACGCTTTGGCGTTTGAGCCCCTACTTCACCGGCTGAAGGACAAGGCGTGCAATCAAGCTCTACACGGAATCCCTGTTTTCCCTACGGGAGCTCGAGCCAGGGGTTCTGCGTACGCCGATGACGTATTCATTTTCGAGTCGTGCCGACTCGGTATTAAGGTGGTAAAAAAGGAGCTTAAACGGTACGAGAAGATGACAGGGACCAACATTAACCGTAACAAGTCTTCTGGCTTGTAGCTAAGAGCCTGGGAGGGGGTTGCGCTTCCGCGGCCCTTTGGTTGGACTGATGGACCCGTCTGCATTCTTGGAGTTCGGTTCGGGCCCGGATTCGTGCTAAAGAAGAATTGGTCAGAAACGGAGTCAAAGGTTGGAGCGCCGGTTTAGACTAGGGCTGAGGCCTGTGCAACGTACTTCTTGACCCTCATCCTTTTGGTTGTACTTCCTCTTTGCAGGACCCGAGTTTGTAAAGAAGCGTCCGTATCATGGGGTGCTGGGATTGCCTCAAATTGGCTTTCCTACTATGCGTCTTGACAGAGGGCTCGATTTTGGCGCAGAGTGTTAGGGACGCCTTCCCTAGCCTTATCATCACTACTCCTTTTAATTGGGGTAAGCGTCGTCGCGGTCGGGGAGTGTCGGTCGACATTGGTCATTTCTCCGTCCAGTGACCTTTCTCGGCCTCGGAGACTATTGTACCTTGAATTAGTGGAGGGGGTCGCAAAGGATCCTCTGTGTGACCGGTTCGGCTTTTCGGCATCAGAGTTGCACTCTTTCTGGCCTTGGGTGCCAGCGGCGGATTATCTCAGCAACCCTGAGTTTTCGCTTAGCTGGTGATTGATTCGGAACACGCTACCCTCTCAGTGACGTAACCTTCAGATGGCTTAGAGGAAACGGCTTTGCACGCCTTCTACCATTGTCCTCAGGTGCGCCCCTTCTGGTATTATGTTGGCAAGTTGATTGCTCGTATCGCTCTCGATCGGCTCGTGCCCATCGATCTCGCGTACGAGTGTGACAATGTGTTGCCTCTATTCTCCTGGGTAAAACGGATGATGTTTTTTACGCTGCAAGAATGGTGGTGTTGACGTCGCGAAAGGAGGGAATCTTGCAATATGAACTTTATTCTCATCAGGATCTGGTTGTTTTCTTTAAGTATCAGCTTAGGATAAGAATCAGATCTGATAGAAAGCGTTTGATTTCGACAAATTTCAGTAAAAGTTGGATGATTGAGAAGAGCCTGGTTCGTGTCAACGGGGCTACCCTGGATTTTCTCTTTTAATTCCCCTTAATGCAACGGAGCGGTTTCCTGTGAACCCTCCCCTGGTTAAGTTAGACTCCTGTTCCCAGCATTCCTCTTTTTTTACGGCCCATGTTGGGATTCCCATCTTCCTTTTGTGGGAACGAAGAATAGGTAACCTGGAAGGCCGAACTTGTCGCTGTTGCTTCTGCTGAAGAAGTTAATTTCTTCTTCGCCTCATCAAACGTAAATTTGGGAAAAAGAAATACATCGTATTTTTGGTAAAGAAATGAATAATTTATTTACATATATACAAAGCCAGCATACTGCTCGTTGCTGTTGTAAAAGGCGACAGCGTGGGATAGGAAGAAAGAAAGAGAAAGAGAAATAATGTTGGTCATAGTTGTCGTCTGATGTTTTGTGAAAACTGCGGCGTCGAAGGATGAAAGTTGAAAATGATAATATCGCGTTCAGTGTACCTGCTGAGTTCTTGACCAGCCTCTACGTGTCGAAATCTCAGCCGAATCTCTCTCTCTCTCTATCTATCTCTCTCTCTCTCTCTCTATCTCTCTATGCAATTTGCGGTGTTGAATCAAGGAATTTATATCGGTCGTATCGGTTCTAATTCACAGTCTGGGTTTTTTAGCGGGAGTTATTTCTAGTGGCAAATATATAAGGTTCATTTTATTTCGTTCAATAACGAAAACATGCGTTGAGCCATGATGCACAGAGACGCGTTTTCGCATTCTGCCTTGGGTCATCGAGCATTCAACAGCTGGTTTAGTGTAAGAGACACGACACTGCCCAGTTTGTTTTTGTCCCCTCCGCCATTTGTCATCACGACTGTGTCAGCCTTGTATTTGCCCCCTTTCGTCATTTATTTTTATCCTTCCCATCCCATTAGTGTGTGTGTGTGTGTGTGCTTCTTGACTCTGTCTATCGTCAGAATACAGCGGCCACTCTTATTATTAGGTTGGTGCAAAAATAATGTCGTTTTTTGACGTTCAACTTCAAAAGATCATAACTCCTTTCATAATAAACTTTATTAATCGAACTAAGAACCATTAGTATCGACACATTTTTGCCAACGAGAAACAAGTTTATTTATCCCATTAGCATAGAAATCCGGAGTTCTGTAAGCGATGAAGTCATTGAAGGCCGATTCGGCATCATCTCGGCTTTTGAAGCATTTTTCGCGCAGGGAGTTGTCGGGATGCTTGAAAAAGTGATAATCAGTGGGCGAGAGGTCCGGTGAATATGGCGGATGAGGCAGAGTCTCGTCGCCCAATTCGTTCAGCTTCTGCAGGGTCAGTTGAGCAACATGGGGGCGAGCGTTGTCATCGAGGAGAATTGGTCTCTTCATATTGACCAATCTCGGGCACATACGTTGGTGCTTCTGGTGCATTTCGTCAATTTGTCGGCAGTACTTCTCCGCCGTAATCGTTTCGCCCGGATTCAAGAAGCTGTGATGGATGAGACCGGCCGCAGACCACTAAACAGTCACCATAACCTTTTTTTGGTGCAATTTCGGCTTCGGGAAGTGTTGTGGAGTTTCTCCGGCATCCAACCACTGTGCCGAACGTCGCCGGTTGTCGTAGAGGATCCACTTCTCATCCTCTCGAGAAATGGGTCGTTTTTGTTGCGCAGAAGGAGCGTAGAAGACACCTCAAAACGACGATTTTTTTTATTATTGTTCAATTCATGCGGCACCGATTTATCCAACTTTTTCGACTTCCCTATTTGCTTTAAATGGCAAACGACTGTTGAGTGGTCGACCTCGAGTTCAACAACAAATTCTCGTGTAGTTTTGCGATTAAGGCTTTCAATTAAGGCTTTCAAATGTTCGTTATCAACCACAGTCGGCCGACACCGACCGTCTTCATCTTCGAGGCTCTCGTCACCATTGCGAAATTTCTTGAACCACCGTTGTGCCACACGTTCTTTAGTGGTTCCTGGGCCAAACGCCTCATTGATATCACGAGCTGTCTCGGCAGCTCTTCGGCCTAGTTTGAACTGGAACAAGAAAATCGTGCGGATTTGAATTTTGTCCATTCTGTCGAAAAGCCTGCAAAAATGAATGAAGAGATTGAGAACGGTAACGAATAACACGATTCGATAGAGCGAAAAACGCGCTTCAAAATGATATATAACATGGCTACATATATCAATGAATTCAGAAATCATATATAAATGTAACATATGTGAGAAAACGACATTATTTTTGCACCAACCTAATATTATTTTGAGGTGTGGATGGGTCCTACTAATATTGTTTTGTTTTAGTTTTATCTTTGTGTAACATTTTTAGTTATTTTTCTGGTTTCATCTCCCTTCTCCCATTATTTCATGAATCATGAAATTTTTATATATTTTAGACTTTCACCAAATTTTGATGTCATGTGGTGTTTTGTAGCTCCCCCACCCCGTGAATATGCTGCATTGTCGTATATGCAGGATTGAGTGACGATGAATGAGTTCTTGAGTTGAAATTTATAAATTGTAATGAATGAATGGGTGATGATTCTGATTAACTAGGACTAGGATAGCTAGTTAAGACCAGCCACTTCACATCTCCCCCTTTCAGCCTTGTGTCATAATTATGTATAGTTACAAAATAAATACTTTGTATTTGTATCTCGTTACGAGAATAAAGTAACCATTGCCGTGATGGTTATTTTAAAAGTTGAAACATTCAAGTTCAGTTATAATTCATAAAGGATTATGTTTGAATCAACCTCACCACACTCGAAGAAAAGTTTGACTGACTCGTCAGCTTGAAAACGACGGATAAGTCATCTGCATGGTTACTAAATGATATAACCTGCCTACCTCGTCTTACCTACAGATATCTGGCCATGAGCGACATGTGCTTCGACAACCCTGAAGAAATATTGTACCCGCTTCTTCGTTGAATAAGAATCTTTGTGTGGGTTGAGGGAAGACATTCCCCTTAGGTGGATCAATTAGTAGTAGAGATTGCCCAGTAGCTAAACTGTTATGTCATCATTGCGGGATTAGGGACTGCGTAAAAAGGGTATGCTAGAAATCTACTAAAATTTTAATTGGAACCACAAACAGATTAAAAAGTTGTGAGGCAGGGCGTCGTTTATACATTTTCTCAAACACTAGTTTGGATGTGAATGCCATCTGCTATGCTGGATCAAAACGGATCTGATTTGATACCGTCGGGTGATTTGCCTCATCTTGCGTGGAATGGAAAGCAATTTCTCAGATCCACTGCCGTCCTTAACAACAGAAGATTTGGACCCACCCAGACTTGTCCAGTTAGTCACGGTAGTCATCACATCCTATCGTTCGCCGATACAGAGGCTCAAACTTGTTCAACTGGGCCAGATATTAAAACTACTCTGATGCCCAGACGGGTACCTCGTGCCAACTAGTTATCGAATACATGTCAGCCAACTTCATATAAAGGGTGTTTTGTTCATGCATATAAGAATTGGCTGGAGGAGACATGACAGGTGGTGTATTTGTCAAACAACATGTCTGGTTTTTACTTATCAGAATCTGACTGAAGTACGTGCGTCTGTTGCCACCTGATTTCCCAGCTCAGACCAGACATCACAGCTCAACTCGTTGAAGAGGGCACGCCCTGTGCACATGTCAACGCAGACAACCTATTCCAGCGGTGTCTAGTACCATCCCGTTCCTTCCAACGGAAACCAACATCCACCTACTGGAACGATGGATAAGTGACCATTTCAAAACTGGCGCATTTAATACATGCCCACACCAGCCCTTACTGACTATAACCATTGGACATTACCTACGTCCCTGATGCGACGCCATCAGCGGTCCATACAACGATCTCTGTCCCTCAGCATTGGAAGAAGAGAGTGAAACAAGACTTCGTTCTAGACGTCGCATTGGGTATAATTGAACAGGTATCAGTGAGCACTCCTACAACCTGGTGCTAAAAGATGGTAGTCACACACTAAAAGACGGATCTCACAGACGCACTGAACCATGCCTCCAAGAGAGAAATTTAATCATGTCTCCATCGTTCCGGCTCAAACAAGGAAAACAGTTATTGACCCATGGAGTGAATACCACAGCTTACTGCTTTCCCCAGCCGCAGAAGATGTCACTACATTTAAAACTGAATGGAGCCGGTGCCGGTATCTATAGGCTCCCCAGGGATTTCACGCGTCTGGAGACGGATATACCCGTCGGTTTGACGATATTATAGTGAGCATAATTCGAAAAACCCATTGCATAGAAAAAAAAACCTCCTTTCGGACCATTCTATATAGTCCAGGTTCTGGCACACAAAGGAATATATAACAAACTGCGGGAAGAATGGGATTGCGTTTAACCCTGACAAATTCCATTTTGCAGAGAATGATGTGGAATTTACCGGGTTCTTAATAACTGCCGAAACCAATGAAGAAAATGACAGGACATCCTTCACTTTTCTACGCCCACAAATATCACGGTCTCAGATCCTGGTTTCGATTGGTGAATCAGGTATCATGCATTCTCGCAAGATGAGGTGATGTCCCCAACCTTCTGATAATTACTGGGCTGTATGAACCTAAATTTTTATTGGGACGAAACGCTTGACCAACTTTTTGAGGAGTCGAAGCGAGTAATTGTGTGGAAGATTGAGGACGGAGTCTAGACGTTCGAGATCAATAAACCGACATGCCTTTCAACAGATTACAGTATAACAGGAATCAGTTGCATTCTTTTTCAAAAACACTGTAATTGTGTTGGCGAAGCGAACGCGAATTGTGATGATAATCACTGGAAAACTATTTTGGACAGGGTCTCACTTTACCAACGTCACTAAACACTGGTGGAAGCTGAAGCTCTGGCACTTGTCTATGGGCTTAGATTTGTATCGGATGTTTATATTGAGATGTTAAAATATGCTACTGACTGTTGACCATCAGCTACTTATAAAACATTTCTCAGATCTGGCGTTCGAGAACATAAAGAATATTCTTTCTTTTATTTAAAGGAACGCATACTAATGTACAAATTCAGCATTAAACATCTCCATGTATCCTATGAGAGGACTCGACAGAACGTCCCCGAATATTATCTACACATATACAACGGAAGCGTAAACGGTCATTCTAGGAGGCGTCTACAACTGATGCAGTCAAAACAATCGACAGTGCAATAAAGGCTGCATGTTCTCATACGAGCATGACCCAAGATTAAGGGTTATGACATAGGATAGGGTCGTTGCAGCCATTGATGAAGAATGTCGTACTATGACAGAATATATACGAACTCGTTTTCCCAAATCACGCCATGACCTCCCATCGGTGTTCTCTCAGTTTTGGTCCATGCGCGAGGAATTGTACTGTGTCGAAGGAGTACCGATCAAGGAGGATAAAATCCTTATACCTCAACAACTTCGTGCGGCAGT